ATCAGATCTGCATAAATTAACATATGAGGAAAAACAAAATTCCTGAGAAAAATGACAACACAGTCAGTTAGTTTTACTTCTCAAAAACTGAAGAACTTGCAGGGAGGGTTTAAAGTTAAGAAAATATAAAATCTGCTCCCTGATTAGTTGGGGACAGCTTTTAATGGAAAACGATACCTACTTACAATGTACTTACCTTATACATTTTAATTCACAGGTTATACCTCTTGAATGTTACGGCCTTTGGGTTTTAACTTTCTCTCCCCCCCCCGCCCCACCCATGTGTGTGTGTGTGTAGAGAGATATGGACTATATCCACCCAACCACACTCCCATCACCCCCTCCCATGCAGTCTGGGGATGATGGGAATTTTCATACAGGAGATTTGGAGAACAGGCTGGTGGGAAGGCTGGTGTATAGATTTGCTGGAGTCTCCCAGTCTAATTTATCAGTCTAGCTTACATATCATGCTGCCTCATCATTTCTTGCAGTAGAGAGGTTCAAAAATATCAGTTTTAACATGGGCTAATCCAAGTTGATTTACTGCTTTTACATTAGAAAATACGTCCATCTGTGAAAGGTTAGAAAATATTTTTGTGTTTATTTTTCTTTAAAACACTAATAAAGAAATACAGCACTGTTCCCATTGGAAGGCAGTAGTCAACAAAAATTAACATACCGCACTAGGAGATTTTTGGCATGTAGTACACCTACACCCAAAATACCTTCTTCCAACTATCCAGAGATACAGAAAACATTGATGCAGTTGGAGAAGCAGTCCTGCAATTTAAACTATTCACATTAATTTTTGATTAAATGCAATCAATATGATTTACACAGTAATTTAGCAAGAATTATTCAGTCCATCATTGTAATAAATTACATAGCATAACACAGTCATGTGTGGAAAATATTACAATACTTTGACAACCACTGTCTGCTAGTAGGGTACTTACTTTTGCATCTGGTGTAAAAAGGCTAGGCTCTAAGCTGCTGTAAGTAAAATGAACTTGATTAATATCAAAAGGTTGGTTATCTCACTTACAAATATGTCTTCGGGGCTTTGAGGCAGTTATCACTTCAATTGTCTTTACATTCTATAAGGCGACAACTCCACTTACAACTCGCCACAGACTCATATTTCCCTAAACGCTGATTCCAATTCTTAAATGCTCGAAACTGTCAGTAGTTTATTATCATGCTCTCTGAAACATTCAGCAACTGGTTCAGAAATCATGATTGTCATTGAACCATGCTTATTGCTGAAATACGGGTTGCTGTGTTGTCTGAGCTCAGCTAAGAAACCATAGTTAACAAACCATGGTTCACAACCCAACAACAAACTATTGTTTCTTTTCATGGGTTGTTTGTGGGTAACAGGTCTTGTTAGTGCATCTGAGTTTTTCAAACATTATAGTCCATGGTCCAACAACAACCCATGTTCAGCTCTTGAGTGTGGGTTTTTGTGTTGTCTGAACTGAGTCAATGTCTTTTCATCTTTTCCAGGAAACTGGATGGCCCCTCCACAATTTCCGTGGGAAGACTTTTGGCCATAGCCCAGTAGATGAGCAGATGTTCCACATTAAGAAGGTCTTGGCTTCAATCATTTACATCTCCAGTTAAGGGGATCTTGATCCAGTAGCAGAAATCAGTGAACTTCTGTCTCAAATCCAAGTTAGCTGCTACTAGACAAGTGAGATGGACCATTAGCCTGACTTTGCATAAAGCAACTTGAATTCTACCCATCAAGAAATGCTGATCTTTTCCTGTCCTGCACACCAGGGGAGTGTATGGAATGCTCTCGACTCACGCGGGGTGCCAGGTACAATACGATTTGGGTCAGTACTTGAATTGATCTAAAGATGCTAGAACAGGGATGGCAGTATGAAGAGCAGGATCTACTGGCAGACCTCGGAATGATTTCAGTAGATCATCAAAGATTTCTGGCTCCCAGTTGTTTAAAAACAGCAGGAAAATTACTCTCCCCCCATTGCATGTGAATGTATGAAGAAAGCGTTTGGTAACCAGAAAGTGATTTTTGTGTTGGGAGATTGTGGACTTTACTTGGTTCTGGTACTTGTAGCAACTTTTGGACATAGAATTCTTTAATTTTATGTGCATACCTTTTGCACCCTATTCTAGCTGGTAGATCTTAAGGTTTTAATAAAATAATAATTATTATTAATAAGTGGATCCTGCAAATATCAAGTCTGTCCACACCTGCTAACATTTCCTTACTGCCAGCTCCTTCTGCAGTGCAGCCCAGGGGCAGAAAGGATTATATGGAAGCAAAGAGTTCGTAAACCACCGTTCTAGAGTTTCTGGGACAGAGATATAGTCCATGTTTCTCATAGGCATTAGTGTTTCTCTTTCCTAGTTAGAGCTCTTTCTGCAAACCATTTTTTTCCTTCTTGTATATGGTGCATGATGGAAAATGGTGCTCACCCGCCTCAGTGTATTAACCTAAAGACTGAAAGGCCTTTCTAAATTGCATCATAGCTATTTTCTTCCCTGGGTTGGGCCTTGATCTGATCACTTGCTTCTTCTATAAAATTAAGGTATATGTCTCTCTGTGAGGGACAAGCTGGGCTCCAGAGAGAAGGCGTGGAAGAGGGCAACATTCTTATTACAATGACATTTTGAGCCAAGCTTGTCTATACGTGCAGAATTCAGAGGCTGCTATCTCAAGCTAGCAACCCTTATGAATTCCAGGGAATTCCAGGTTTAACACCCACACTTCCATGCTGAATGCCTTGAATAATTTGCAAGCCCCTCTAAACTGATTCATATGAACATTTCTGAGGAGGGAGGGTAACCACAAAAGTGATTTTTCTTCTCAATATTTACAAAATAAAGTGGCATGAATACCCTACTGTGTCCTGAAACACAACTAAAAATGCTTGGGAACTTGCAGGCTCTCTCTGTGTATTCTTGCAGTGCAATTTTCTGATGGAAGCGTGGAATGGGAATGGCACCCATGGAGACTTTTGAATCTCTGAAATTGTTATGTGACTTAGGCTTCCAATTAACAGGAAATGTTAGTCATCAGAGTAAACAATTCAGCTATTGTTATAGCACTGTTTATCTTGGGATTAAAATAAGCAAATCCCCTTGTTCTTCTGAATATCTTTTCTCTTTCAGATTCAGTCTCTAACTTACCCATTGAATGTGCTAAATAAAGTGGAGCTTGATGGGAAATCAGGACTCCTTAAGCAAGGATAACAAATGATGTAAACATACCCCAGGGTGAATATCTGACAACTAGGGTACCTCTCACCCTTGTTACAAATCCCAATTTAATGCCCATCAAATGTCAGCATATTTTTGACATCCTATTAGGTGCTAGTGCCACTTTTGTACAGCGTACAAGAAATGCTCAGCATTTTCAGGAATCTACCCTCTCTGCAGGTTCCCAACCTTCATGATTGCATAGAAAAAAAATTAAATGTGCTAAAGATTCTTCCTCCCTCCTGTGAACAACATTCAACTATGTTTTTTTAAATCTCAGAGTTTCTAGAGTACTTCAAAGGTTCTCAACATGCTTTGTAAAGATGTGCCCAGTTCCTCTGTTTAAGGACGTTTCTATAGCTCTCAACATCAGAGCACATGCTTCGCGTACAGAAGGCCCCCGTTTCAATGCTCAGCACCTCTAATTTAGAGGCAGGTTGGGGAAGTCCTCTCTCTGAAGCCTTGCATCTGAATGGGCAATCCTGGGCTAGATGGGTCAATGACCTGACTCCATCAATGACAGCTTGTTATGTGCTTATGGCCTTTGTCAATGGGTGTGTCAAGGAAGCTGCCATTCCTGGAGTTTGGAATGGTGCCCAAATGGCATGACAGCAAGCACTCAAGGGCAGGTCCTCAACTCTGCCACAGAGGACACTGTTTCCATTGCAATATAAGCCCTAGTCAGGCTTTCTATAAATAGCTGAGCGGGAGGAAGGGAGAGCGAAAATGAGCATGCTGAGCCCACCTCTCTCCATCACCATCCTGGTTTTCCTCCCTCTGTTGAGGGTGATCATTTTACAGCAGAGAGCCTTCTCTATCCATGGAGGTTCTCCATCCACTTTTAAACCTGGGTTCTTTCATGTGCCAGGACAGTCCCCCTCCAGAAAAGGGTGTGAGCTGTGGACAGTTGCCCTCAAAATATGGAGAGGTGAGGGCAGAGCTCACATGCTCATCCTTGTGCCCCATCCCTCACAGGTTTATGGGACATGTGAATAGGGTGACAATCCATGGATTTGGGCAAAAAGTGCAGTCGGCCCAAACAGAAGGTTTTCTATGAGTTCCTTGGAATGGTAAAGCATAATGTGAGTTTGTGGGTATCAGTCTTGCTCCTACAACTTGCTCCAGCCCATACTCTTTCCCATATTTATTCTCCATGATTCTCAATATAATAGCACCTGAGATCATAATGAATAAGGACAAGAAACAGACGGATTGGCAATGGAACAATTAAGAGGTTCACCAAAATACACACATCTGCCATTATTCATTTCCACTGAACCAAACCATTCATTTTGGATGGAAAGTGAGAAGGAGAAGGAGGGCATTAGAATAACCTTAAGCAACATACCTCACCACAGAGGTGTCCCTGCAAATAGATGAACTGCAGTCTGTTTCAGCAAGCCAGATCTTAGTCTTAACAACAAGACAAATTCATGAAGGAGAAGTCTATCAATGGCTATTAGCCGTGGGACCTTGATGTGTACATAAAATGGAGCTGAGTGCCAGGTGCTAAAGACAGTAAGAAGACATTGGCCCTTCTTGTATCTCCCTATTTTTAGGTTTCCAAGAAACATTGTGTTGGCCACTGTTGGAAGGTGAGAATGCTGGACTAGAATGGACCTTGTTCTGACCCAGCACGGAAATTCTTTGTTCATATACACTTTTCCTTCCTCACAGAAATCATCAATCACCAGATGGACAAAATACAACCAGATAACTCTACCTTAAGAGAGCAACACTTTTGCCACTGAATTTTTGTTTATTGTTGAGGTTCAGTGGAAGCATGTAGGCCTGGTCTATGCTTCTGGTATCACGCCAAGGCAGTGGAGCTATGCAGGAAGCAGTAAAGAGGTTGCATTACAGAAGCTCTGGCAGCAGCCAGTTCAAACTCTGCATCTTCTTTCATAGAAGCCATGCCCGTCTGAGAATGTGTTAACTCCAGAATGTCACAGGAGGACTTGGAGCTATTTAGAGATGCTCCAGCCAAGGAGTGTCCCCCCACCACCCCACATTCAGATGCCTTTTAAAAACCAGTAAAAATAAAAATAACAAGTAACTCAGTGGCAGTGAAGAAACAGGCAGTCAGTGCATTTCTGTAAAAGGCACCAGCAGATCTGAAGGGTGGGACCTGGTGCTACAGAAGGAGGATAAGGCCACCATGGAGGCTAGTCCATAAGTTCTGCAGTGCTTGGGTGCAGATGTCTCCACAGCCAACATGTGGAGGTGGCTTTTTTCATGCAGTTTCCAAAGAGAAAATTGGTGCATCTGTACCCTGGGATATCTCGATGAACATTCCACCTCCAGCATGTTCAAGATGAGAGCGAGAACTTTTCTCTCGCAACATGGTCTTCATGACACCAGGCATGTTCAGATGCTAGATGACCTCCTGCTTTGTGATGGCAGGTTGAGGGACTGAGCTGGGTTGTTTGGCTACAGTTGCAATGGCTCCTGGAAGTAGTTTGTATTGTTCAGCTCCTGAGCCAGCAGGTGGGGAAGGCTGAGGAGTTTCTGGAGTGGCTGTGGGGAGAAAGGCTCTGTTACAAAATCAGGCACCGTAAAGCCTTGAGCCAAACACAAGCATTTCCATACACATGGTAGAAATGTGTAATAGCACCATCTTACACAGATTTCTAAAAGTTCTGCTAGGATCAATAAGGTTTACTCCTTAGTAAGTGTTTTGTGCTTAAGACTGCAACCTGTTAGTTTTGGCTTTCAATTAAGTTGGAATGTAAGACTTCTATTGGAAAGAATAAACATAGGATGATGCTAAACCACACGAAGTTCTTGCTGGCATCTATACACAGTGCTAAAAGAATCCCTGTAAGTGAAGACAGAGAACTTGTGACCCTCCAGATGTTTTGGTTTCGAAGTCCTATCAATCCCAGCCAGCATAACCAATGATGAGGGATAATGAGAGCTGTAATTTAACTATACTTGAAAAGCTACAGACTACCTACTCCTAATGTAAAACATAAAAGAAGCAGGTGCCAGAGAAGAGAGCCATCACCATTGTAAGAGTAGAAGGTGGAGAAGCATCCATCCACCTTCTTGGGACTGGACCATTCCTCCTCTTACAGAAGTCATCTGTCCCAAAGCTATTGCTACTAATTCAAATCTTAGGGACTGGGGGGATATGTGTACAGTTTAATGTGAAGTGATATAATTCTGCACTTTTTGATCAATACATAAACACAGTTATTCTTGAAAATTTGCACATCCCTGAATTTTGCAGTGGAGTTATCCGGTCAAAAATGCACACAGAAAATCCTACATTAGTGAAAGTTATGTTAAAAATTAATTATAATTAGTCAAATGGCTTGCAAGTTTGTGTATATGAGGCAAATTTGTGCATGAAAATTTTCATGCAAATCTTTAAAAAATTAAACATTAGTATCTGTAATGGGCTGCTTTTACGCAGTGTACTTGATATCACTCCAGTATCAGAGGAGTTTTTGTGCGGATAGTTAAAAAATGCTTTTTCCCACTTTATTCTTTTTTCTTGGTGTGTTCATGTGTGTGTAAATGTATAGGTGTGTAAAGGTTGCATGCTTATACACTGCAGGATGTCAGTACTCAGGGTGCCCCTTTGAAAGGGAAAGTAAAACAATGCTTTCTTCCCTCAGCACCATGATTCTGCGTTTTTTTCTTTGAAAAAAAGTATGTGCAGGGAGAAATTCAGTGCTCAAATACACATCCTCTGGATGCTTTTTTTTTTTGAAGAACAATGAACAAACAGCAAGTTTTCCACACAGCAAAGCTCCCCTGTTCTCCACTGCTACGTCTGTTAGGGAGGCCAGAGCAACATGGGAAAACCTGATCCCATTATTCAAGCAGAAGGATAACCAGTGCACATCCATGTGCACTTAGTTTACCATAACTCAGAATATGCACGGCATTCCTGGATACTGGGTCTCCCTGCAGGAATACTCACACAGCTGCCCGTTGTGGATCTGAGCTGGCATTGTGTTGGCCACTATGACGTTTGTCCCCAGATTCTCCTGGATAAGGTGAGGGTGCAGAGCGTGGTGGTGAGCATGAGGTGCTTCGCTCGACGATCCTAAAATGATTTATATTGCTCTTAGCATGGCACGATATTCAGCGCAAAAAGTGACACACAATTCTTTCCACATTTGAAATGCTCCCAGTGTCAGTAATCAACCCAGGGATAGAGAGAAGCACATGACCAAGGCCCACCTTCTAGTTGCCCAAACTAGTCATGGATGTTCTGCCAATCAATATCAGATGTGTAGGTGTGCGGTCATAACTGTGGAGGTGCATTTTGGTCAGGATCACAACCAAGATCACCTGCTTGAGGTGATGCTAGGGCCATGTTGTGGCTAACAGAAATCAATTTGTATCTTGGTTGTGTGTGTGGGGAGAGAGGGGGAGGGAGGGAGGGAGGAGGGGGAAGATGCAGTGGTGTTAAGGCACACAAGACTGAGTAAGATTAAGGGCTGGACACTGAGGTTTGGTGGGGAGATGGGATGGAGAACTCAGGTCTTTGCCAAGGAGCTACAGAGCACTGGGAAAAGATGCAATCAGAAGTGGCAAATAAGGACAGCTTTCCCTTTCCCTCTCCTGCATCCTCTCAGTCCACTGTCTCTCTGCTTCAAAACATGTCCTTCCTCAGCTGTTTGGCAGAGACACTCACTGACTAGACCCAGTTCTCCACTGAATGTCTAGTGTCCCCCTAACTGGGTTGAAGACAGAGGATCTCCAATAGAATGGAATGGAGTCACCTCATATTATTACTCTCTGAAAGAGAGAAAAAGCCTAACACCCATAAAATATCTATAACATGCTCTCCCTGCCTCAGGTGGTGTATCCTCTCTCTATGTAGACCTCAGGGCCTCTGGTGGAAGACTGAAGATAAGATTATGTCCCATTAGACAATAACCTCTTCTCTCCTACCCTGACTGCAAACCTTAGTGCAACATAAAAACAGATGACTACCTCAAATCTCACTTCAGGCAGGGAGATCAGAGTCCCTGGCCAAACACCAGAGACTCTTCTTGGACTCCAGATGTCTTCTTCTCCTCTCTTCTTCTTTGCAGTGGGGCTGATGTTGTGTCCTACACTTGCCTGTTAGCCAAGCATCAAGACTCCAAGTCTAATGCCTGGAAAGCTCTCTGCAGGGCCTCTCTGGAAATGCTTACCTCCCAGCAGCATCTCCTGCAGCAGGTTGTCAATCTTGGCCATGCCAAAGAGCTTGACGAACTGGATCTGTTCAATCATCTGCCAGGTGATGCTCTGGAGGGTGGGCAGCAGCAGGAGGAGCTCCCCAAAGCGTCCCCGAGAATCATATTGCCGGTCGTTGATGTAGTCCTCCAGGCTGACCTGAACTTGATACCGCATTCGTTTTATCTTGATGGGGTCACTCAGGCCTTTAGCATCTGGAATAAGCCACAGGAAGTTACACACTATGCCATGTCTCCCATATAAAGGTGCACATCCAGAGATTCAGGCCAGTTTGGGTGGCTACATGAATCCACACTATCTTCAAACTCTTTTGGCACTGTGGAAGAGGCACCTGTTTCATGTTCCTTATTCAGGATTTGCACAGGCTAGCTCTGAGCTCCGGCTGTCCACATGGACTACACGTTGGACTACAATCCTTCAGCCCCAGCCATAGTCAAGGATGAATGAAAATGGAGGTGAGCATCTCTAACACCATGGGTTGCCCAGCCCTGATGTAAGAACTGGTAAAGAGGCTTATGAAACCAGGTGACTCAGCTCAGCACAAAAGGCACAGTTCCCGCCAAGAGGGGATGTGATGAGGAGTGCTAGAAAAATGAGAAAACTGCACCAACTTAGATATCAAAGGTGCAGAAGTCCTGCTTTCCTTTCCATCTGGCCACCTGAGCTGAGCTTTGTTTGCTTTCGAATGGCAGCATGGAGGCCATAGGTGGCATAGTTTGAAAGAGCTTGGATGAAGTTGCGAAGGAGAGTAGCCTCCACACCAGCCCCTTTCCCCGGAATCGCCAAGCTTTGTTTGCCCCCTTTCTTAAGGAGATCCAGACATCCTTGTCATCAAATCACTGCAGTTCAGTTTCAGGGTGATAAAAGGTGACTGCAGCATGAGCCTCTCTCTCTCTCTCTCTCTCTCTCTCTCCCTCTCGCGTGGGCAGGTAGAGCGTGACTAAGGCTTAATGGTTCCTTATGACCGCAGGTGGAGATTCATGATGAATCACCAAGGCAGACCTGAGCAGCCGCTCTTCACTGGCCTCCTGCCAGTTGCTGCTCTTATGGAGGAGAGGGGCTTTCTTTCGGGCTTTCTCTGATGGTTACTTTTTGTTATTGAATTCAGAGTCAAACTATCTTGCTGTAACATGAAAAACAAAAGAAAACAAAACAGTACTTAAAGAGACCTGATCCCTGGCAGAAACAGGAATCAACCTTGGGGCAATTAGGACAGTTTCTTCAGAAGGCACTTAAACTAATCACTAATTCCCTATCTAGGATCACATTGTAAGGAACCTTTGCAGAATGAGCGTAAAGGAGGAGCATGGCCATGGGAAACAGCGTTACTTAATAATTTAGATTTGATTAAATGTTGTGTTTTACCATTGCTTTAGGATTCTATTTAATGGGATTTTACTGGGTAAGCTCTGTTGGGAGGTCTTTTCTCCTTAGTGCTTGTGTGGTATCCAGTGTGACACTGTCACTGACGTAAATTATCTTGCACTAACAATAGCATATGCAGCTTCTAGGTCAATAGCCCATGTTGCCATGTTGTGTTTTCTGGGGAAACCTGCCCTAAAAGCCAAAGGGACTGGCATTCTGCTAGAGGCCTGCACAGGCAATTCATGTCAGTGGTAGTATCATGCTGAACACTGTCCTTGATTCCAACTTCCAGAAGATTGAATAAAAGCAGTGTCTTGGCTGTGCTAGAGGACTACTGTATAGTGCACAAACCACTGTACACCCCACTTGCAGTCATGAAGAAATCTGCTTCTACCTGGATCAAAGAAGATGATGGCTTTCAAACAAGCATATTCATTATCATCAATCTGCAACTCCTGGAACGTCAACACGAGCTCGTCCAGGATCCGTACAGCCACACGACTGATTTCTAGGAGCTCTGGGCAGTTACGTGGGATTATGTGGTCATTTCCTGCAGGAAAATTGTTTTATTTAAAACCTAGTTCTTTCAAACATCTTTGCCAATGCGGTTCCCTGGCTGCCCATAGTTTTGTAATTTACTATCTATTGTTTTATTAAATAACCTCTTCCCCTTCCAGTGGATTTGTTGAGCTATGATGGAAACATTTGCTGCTGCTATTATTGTTGTTATTATTATTACTATTATTATTATTTATACAGCTGATTTATCTGAAAGACAAACAGATGACAAATAATTACCTTGCCCTCTCCATCATTTAACTGTTGGAAAATTTAAAAATTCCAAGGCTCCTGTTTTCACTTTATTTTCTTCCAGAAAAAATGTCCTTATGGCAGAACTGATGTCCCTTATGTCCCACCAATAACTTGCAGGAATACTCATAAGTTGTTTGTAAATTGGAGCTTAAGCATATCAGTGCAATCATTTATATGTCACTCAGAGTGTCTCTGCCCTTTTCCCGTTCCCAAACCTGCAAAATCTATTTACTGGAAATGACAGTGAAGAAATAGGAAGAAGCACCTATCTTATCACACATTCAACTCTTAAAAACTACTCACTGTCTCTAGCCTGCTCATTTTCAAGAATGCAAATCTTAGCAAATGCATAGGAACAGATTTTTGAAAAATTTGATTCCTTCAGTGTGCAGACAGCACAACAAAGAGCACTTAACCTTCACTGAAACAGATGCAGAATGGATTTTACACTGTTCATACATTCCCAATTACTTCCAAATAAACATGCATAGGATTGTGCTGTTAAAATCTGCAACACACTTCTCCTTTCAAATCCCTACACTGAAAACTTCACAGACTGCAGTATGTATAATGGGAGGAGACAGAGGCTCTTTACCTAGCAGTAGGATGTCTTTGAACACCATCGACCGTTTGGCAGCTCCCAGTAACAGGTGTTCTCCTGCATGGGCCCGTAGCAAAGCCACCTGGAGCAACAAAGACCTCTTATTACTGGAAGAAGAGTGTAACAGAAAGGCAGAGAACTCGAATGTACCCATGGAAGAGAAATGCAGAGAGAACATTCACCTTGCTACCTCCTGTGAAGGCCACGTTACAGGAGGCATCTGGCAGTGCGGCCCTCAAGACTGTTTTGTTTCTGTGGGGTTGGAAAACTTTCCTTCCCCAGCTGACTCATGTCTGCACAGATATGCCAGCCGAAACTTGCAACAATAGGCAAGGGAGTGCCTCCCATGCATCAGAGTACAGGGAGCACTCACCCTTCCATATTCAGTCATAATATGTCACACATCAAAGAGAATACAGCAAAACTCCATTCATTTCTTGGTGACACTGTCTGACCTTTCACCAGAATCTGTGGAAGTAAATACTCCAATGATGCAATGAGCATCCTCACTTGGAGCCAAGTTGTTTTGGGACTAGAGTTCCCATATCATCAGTATCTTGCAAGCTCGGGGCGTGGGGACCAGAAGGCCAGTTGGATGGCTGTACAGGAAGTACTTCTGTGGTAATAGCCAGTACATGCACACTTCCTGGAGTCTTCATGCAGTGCGAAGGAAGAAAGCTGAACTGAGCTGGTCCTCTCCAGAGGGCAGAACTGCATGAGTGTGAGGATGGACCATTTCTAGTTAATCAGGAAATGAAATTATACTCAGCTGCCAGGGTTCTGCAACATGAAGGTTCTTTAGAGCACCATAAGGTCACAGAATAGCCACAAGGTGGACTATCCTTCATGGGCTGGACCCAGATTCTGCCCCATGTGAGCAGAATGTGTGTTACAGCACAGTGACTTTCCTCCCTATTTGGTAATGTTATTCCACTAATTGGCCCATCCTGATTTGGCATCCTGGGCTCTGTCAGCACTTGACATGTGTGCAGTGTTGCTCAGGAACTGTTGTGTGCTTGGTGTATGGGCAGATTTCAATCTGTGCATGTTGTGCTACTGTGTTAGTATATTCTTTCCATGGAACGCCAAGGAATTCTTCCATGCCATCCTATCTGGATCCAACCCCAAAAGTTTAGCATCCCTGTCCCAGTGTATGTAATTTTTCTGGTGACTGTGGACATTTTGTTGAGAAGAGGGTTCTGAAGAGTTTTTTTTTTTAAACCAAACCAATCACTTTGTTGTTAATGATTCCAGTGAGTCACTTTATACCCTCCAGTGATCCTCAGGAATGCTCTGATTCTCCTATCCTACTTCTGTTAAAAAAAAATCTGCAGAAACAAAGGTTAACACGAAAACACGGTGTGACATGGATACTTCTTAATGTCCGACTGGGACTTCAGCTGCGTGGCAAACAACTACTAAACATTAACTTAAGGATTTGGGAAAGGGTGTCTTCACGGGGATGGGCCAATGTGTATGTGCTGAACAAACACCGAGAAATAACCTTGCAGTGAACAATCTGAAGGGAAGGGAGAGACTACTATTTCCCAAAGGCTTCGATCAACTCATGAAGACAAAGTAGGAGGCAAATTTGCCTGAGCAATGTTCTTCGTTAAAAGTATCCTGATACTAAAAGCACAGAAAGGGCCATCTCAAACTTCTCTGTAAATTAGGGGTGGACAATGTGCAGCCCAGGCCACATGTGGCCCAGACTCTGCTGCTGCCAGATTTGCCACAAATTCCCTGTCAAACAGGACATGTGCTTAGGTTTACAACAAAAACATCAGTATTTTTGCTATTGCTGTGCAGCTAAAATTTGGTGGCAAATTCAGCAGTGTGGTGGCAGCAGGCAGGGAAGGAAAATTGGCCCTTGACCTGCCAGAACTTGCCCAGCCCTGCTGTAAACAAGCCGCAAATGCAGGCATTCCTGCAACCAGGGATGTGATTGTTGTGTGAGGCAAATGAAGCATGCATGAGGCCTTATCTACCCCAGCCATTTTCAGGGATTGTATCCGCATGATTCCCACTTAGATGCATCCCCCTCCCCTCCAATGAGAACATAAAGAGTGTTATTATCTGCTCACAGCAAGATTTGCTAGTCTGGTGTCCTATTTCCAAGGACTGGCCATGTGCTGCAAGATGACAAACAGCGGGGCAAGAAAGCAACTGTTCCTCCTATTGTGTGCACTCCCACGCTCAACTTTACAACTAACTTGCTATGGCATCATATTTAGATATTTTCTCTTTTTTTTCAGATGTTTAATTTGCCAAGTTAAATCAACCATTATTTTACCTTTCCCCAACCAGGTGATCTCCAGATGTGTTGGACTTCAACTCCTATTATCCCCAAGCATGGGGAAAGTTTGCTTCATTGCAACATTTCCTTCTTGGGCTCCCTCCTTGCTTTCTTAACCTGTACTCAGCTGAGGCCTTTCTCTGAATCAGTCATTAGTTTAAGTGCATTGTGCAACCACAAAACCTTTTCTTTGATGGTGCCCTGTCCCTGGAATGCCCTCCAGACTAGTGAAAACAAGCTAGGTTTGTACAATTGGTTTGTGCGGTTGTGTGGTTTTAGCCTGTGCAATTGTTTATCTCATCTTGCCAATTTTACTGTCAATGAAGTTTTGATGTTGTGATTTTCATATTATTTTGCTGGATGGAATTTCATGTGCTATGCCCTGAAATGTAGCTTTTTGGATGAAGGTGCTTTCTGGGAATGAATTAAATAGATGGCTGACAGGGATACAGATGCTTTTCTTCCAACTCATCCTACCATCCTCTTGCTGGTGAAATGCAGTCCTTCCCCAGGCCTGTTCACCATGGCCATTGAGGTTTTGCATGCAAATACTTACATCTCAATTGCATATTTCAGGTTGTATTACTAACTCTCCACTCACCCACACCTAACTCATGATGAATTTGTTGTCCTTTTAAACAGAAGTTTCAGCTGATGATGATTTGTTGTAGCAGTTTTCAGGATGTGCAATTTTGTGGCCTACTGCAGGAGCATTTCATCCTTCTTTCAAAGAAGAAAGTATGTAGATTATTACACTAATATTCACCACTGCCCCTAAGTGTGCAGGAAGTATTCCTGGGGGATAAATTGTGGGGAGGTACCGAAAAGATTTGAAACTCAGGCCCACAGGACAACCTCCACAAATTTGCATATGCTAATTTGCTTATGCTTCAAGTCTCTTTTTGTATGTGTCTTTAGAGGTCCCTGTCTCCATTTGTAAAGACCTTTAGAAGATCCTTCTAAAGGAGCCATTCCTCAAAGAGGTGAGAGGCAAATAGAAGAAGGGCCTTCTCAGTAGCTGCCCCTCGCTTACAGAATGTGCTCCCCAGAGAAATTTGCCTGGTGCCGATATTACTCCATTTCCAGCACCAGGTGAAAACATTTCTCTTTTCCAGGCATTTTAACAATACATTTAACAACTATTTTAATGTGTGTGATAACGTATCATCTTATGGTTGTTCCTGCAGTGGATTTATTGCAATTACTTATTTATTATTGTGTTTATCATATTTTTATCATATTTGATTGGTTTTATTATTGTTTCCTTGTATGAGTGATTGATTGTTTATTCGTTTTATTGTTTTAGCGATTGTGTAATTTTAAGTGTTGTAAGCCACCTAGAGACTCCACTTGGAGCAGGGAGCAGCATGCACATGTAAAATAAATTAAAATATAACAAAATATTACATGTTGCTAATCAGCTCAGTATTTCTGTGTATCAATGAACTGCGAAAGGACAATAATGCTCATTCAAACAATGAGTAACATAAGAGGCTTACAGAATTTTTTAGAGCTGGAATAAGGAAACCACAGTTTAATTTTAGCTATAAATGGGAATCCAAACAACTGGCTTACCTGGTCATCCAAAGGAAGCTCACAGAATGCTGGGATGTACTTGGCCCACTCCACTAGCACTAACAGCTGCTGCTTCATAGACTCACACACGTCTGCAATATTTGCAATCTTTTTCCCTCTGATATCTCCACTTATCACTGAAATTGGTGATGATATCTGGAAAAGCATGAAAATTTACCTAACATTACTTAGGAAAAAAAAAAAAAAACAGAACTGGAAGCTATGCAAACTACAAGATTTCATCATCTAACAATGTGGGAGAATGTGAAATGCCTTTTCTTATGCTTAAGTGGAATCCAAAGGCTCTTGACCTATTACCAAATGGAAATTCATTTTTCCTCAAATAGTCTAACATGAGTTATATTTTAATGCCTCTTCTTCCCCTCCTTTATTAGCTATGTTGGCCTCCAAAACTAGGGTAAATGCTTTTGCAAGCAAATCATACATTGGTATAACTTGTTTCCCTTGGTCTCCTTAGGGCTAGTGTGAGGAATGCGTGGTCCTCCCGATGCTGTTGGTCTGCAACTCCCATCATCCTTGAACATTGGCCTTATGGGCTGGGGCTTCTGGGTACTGGAGTTCAGCAGCAAGTGGGCAAAACCTCTTCGGTCCAAACACTGAACTATCACTTGGTTGTGATTTGGCTTCAGTTGGTTTTTTGTCATCTTGAGCTTGGAGCCGTTGATCCTGCAAACCAGCCCCAAGTGTTCTTAGAGCACTTGCAGATGATTCAAAAGCTGAGCTCACATGAGTTTGTCTGGAGCTCTGGTGGTGTAGAAGGAATACAGCAATTCACCAGTAGACAGAACAGTCATACCTCTTCGCATCATCCCAAATACAATGTCAGTGGAAGCAATGGTTGTGAAATACAAGAGGGGTGCAAATAAAAGATGCTGTCTGCCCCTAACCCGAACCCCAAAACTCTGTGTTTCTTGCAAGACGGTTTCGCAATAGAAGCCTTGTCTGGAAGCACCACTGGTCACGAGGCCTGGTGCCTGTCCTTGGAGCCTAATATATCTCACCCAACATTGCAGCAGTTGGGATGAAAGAAACCATGCAAGTTGGCCAAGACTCCTTGTAATGAGGGAGTTCAAAATTAAAAGACAGATGCATAGGACCATTCTCCACTCTTTCTGATTGGCTAGCCAGAGAACATTGGGACCATTTTGCCAAGTCTGAATACGGAGGGGGACAATATTAGGTGGCAGTTTCTAGATCACAATAAACAGTAAAAAAAGATGCCTGTTTGGGGAAAGTGAACAGCATGGAGCTGAGTGATAGAACACGCTGAAGTTCTTGTGCACACACCTTATAAGGAATAAGGCCAAAACTTCAATGATCTATTTTAGTGGAATGCTGACTCTGCAATTGAAATGAGCTGGGTTGTTCTTACATGGATCTGTTTGCAATACCACCGTGTTGGTCTACCTGGATGCATGTTTTGGCAATCACTATTATGCACTGAAGTTATTTGAATTATTGTGCTTTGATACTTTTGTGAGCCATAAGCCAGTTCCTTTAAGGGTTTCCGCCTCCTTTCTTGTACAGTTCTTGTACAGTTCCTTCTAGCATCCAAGGATCCCAAATCTCTTGTTTACAGAGTGCAAAAAATTGTCTCCAAGGCCACTGCAAAGCCTACCCTTTCACCCTTCTTCTTTTCTTCCAAGTGCCTTTATTTCCTGGAAACTTGTCAGCTTTAGAAGTATGTGTCATTGAATCAACAGAATTGTAAAAATAACAAAAAAGAAAATAAAAAACACACCCTTGCTATTTCATTTCTTAGTCAAGGAACACAGAAGATTTAATACACATAAATACCGAGTGACTCTGGATTGGACATAAACAAATTCCTTCCTGATATTTGCCCTTCTTATACCTAACTATATAAGGGCCTTTCTCAATTTTGATACACTAAGGGCACAGTTTTATGAATATTTACTCATAGATAGAAAAATGTCCTTCATTTTCCAAGATTCCCCATCCAGGATTCACCTAATCTAAGCAACTTCCCTCAAATCTGAACTTCTGCTACATTTTCTCAGCACAAAAGGGCAGTACTTTGTACCTGCCAAATAGCTGACTGCACCTTGACCAAATGTGGTTTGAATGTGGCTGCACTAGTGCCATGAAGAGAGCAACTGGATATTGCCCATGATGTTGTCCTTGACAAATGACAGATCTGGTTCAGATGAAAGATGTCCTGCTAGAGATTTCACAGCACACCCATATGCACGTTTACTCTGAAGTAAGCTCCAGCGGGTTCAGTAGAGCTTCCTCTCAAGAGTAAGCACACAGGATCTGTAGTGTAAGCATCTGATGATTTACAGAAATTTCTTTCTTATTATAGAGAGGATGAAATGGAAAGTAAAATTAAAACAACACAGGGGGGCTTGTCAGATAGTTCTTATGTTGATTTGTTCTCTAAATTCAAAGAAGTACCTGCTGTGAAAGTACTTCTGCTTGCAGTAAAACATTAATGGAAGGTAAGCTGCTGTCTTCATAGCTGGATCTCCGCGTGCTGATTCGATCTCGTTCGTTCTGCACAGCTGCAAACAAAACAAAACCAAAACCAAAACGTAAAGCACAAAAAACCCTTTATCTTGCATTCAAAAAGTAACACAAAACAAAGCAAAAAGCTTTGGTTGGTTTGTATACTTTAGTCATTGATTTTATATGCTATAGTCCTAATTTTCGGGGTTGCATCCAATTTGCAACAGGTTCTGTTGGCCAAGAGCAATTCCCCTGTCGCTGAAGCCCCACCTGCGGATGGAACCCTGCAGAGCAGCTTTTGTGGGGACGGCATAGGGAGAGGAGGGGGATACCCCATCGCATGGGCAGAGGGCCACTCATGTAGCATTCGATTTCACCCTCTGAAAAGGCAAAGCCAAACGCGAATATGATGCCACCTGTCTTGTCCAAAACATTTGAGATAAAAGATAACATAAATGTATGAAATGCCCAAATTAAACCAGGGTGCTTCCAGGCAAGGGTTTCTTACTACAGTCATTCTTCTTCATCCAAAAAACTGCGCAGAGGATCAAAAAAACACCAAGAGTGTGGTGTGATGGTTTGAGTCTTGGACTGGAGACCTGGGAGATCCAGGCCCTCGTCCCTACCCAGCCAGTCACTGAGTGGCTTAGGGCAGTCTTGCTCCTTCGGCCTAACCAGCTTCACAGCCAGCCTTAATAATGTTGTTGATATGAGCATAAAAACAGAATGGAGGAAAACTTGGGATCCTTGCAGGAGTTAAAAAGGGGGGTATAAACACAATGCTGTCTTGTCTTCTCCTCCTTCTCCTCCTCCTGTATCCCAGAAAATATAGAGCAGCTGCACAATCTCATTGATAGCTCTAGGACAGACTATACCAGTTGTAAATTCCAGCTGTTTTGAACAACAGCCATTAGTATTCTTGACCATTGATTATGATGGCTGAGGTTGATAGGATTTGAAGTCCAAACCATTTGGAGGGCACTGAGTTGGGGAAGACTTTGTTAGGAGATGCCCATCTGAAAGCACCTCAAAAGTATACCGAATCCTACATACACCATCACGGAAGTCAGCTGAACTGAAATGATCCCAGCTGAACAGGGCTGGCTAGCCAGCAAATGCTCATCATGGCTAACTCCATTAAAAGCAATGGAATAAACCCCCGACACAACAGTCTTAATCTGCACAGATTTAAGTGGGATTCACAGCTCATTCCTAACCATGGTGCATATATTCAGGAGTAAATCCCACCAATTTCAATGGATCTTAACGATGAATGACAGGATGCATTTTAACTGAAAACATCAACATGTTCAACTAAAAATGTTGAAAGATCACATTTAATGTGCATACATGAGGGTCAGATTTCAGCAAGTTTCTCCTCTACTTTCCCTTTCAGTGATAGGACCTAATCTAGATAGATTTCACAGGCCATTTTTAAAAGTTCTTTTTGAGAGCCACTCTCCTGCTATTAGTCTGCATGCCCAAAAGGCAGAAATCTAGCTTTAAAGATGCTTGTATCATGCTTAGAAATTGGTTGATGGCTATGCAGAAATACAGATTTACTGCCATGCTTCAACTTCTCTGTTTTTCAGGTCACCTAGCAGAACAGGTACGCTCAAACTGAACCACGTTTTGCAACCTTCAGTCAGCATTTTGCCCCTCCCCTCTCACCCTAGAAGTGCACACATTTGCGAATGATGTATAGAAGTGTGCAAGAGGAAGCTGAGTCATCTTCACACATGCAGATTTCCCTCATACTCTCCCTTCTCAGATCTCTGGGGAAACAGCTAAGATTAAAGGAAAACCTGGTCAGTTTCACCAGGACTAGGAAAAATTCACCTTCCACATCTTCTGTTCTCCTGTCATGGATGCTACTCCTCTGAGATGCAGGCTGAAATGAGTCTGTTTAAAAGGATACATATGTACACAGGGATATCTTAAGTCAAATTAAAGAAACGGATAGCTCTTTCCTCACTGTGCATAAGAGTATGGCTCTCTTTCATCTACCCTCTTAGTCATCTTTTTTGATTTTCTCAGCTTAAAAGGCCCCAGTGCATTAACCTTCCATTGCAGGAAAGATACTCCACCTGTACAACCATTTTGGGTGCTCCTTCCTGCACCAGGGAAAGGTATTCTAGGCTCTCCTGTTAAGACATCTGGCCTTTCCGTGACCAGCACTGACTTCCTGGAGGCAAACCAAGTTGCCAAGTCAAACAAATGCCTGAACTGCGAGCTACAACTGGATGGCTATCTATCCTCTCTATGGCTAATCACAAGAATACCTGCATCAAACAATATCTGATTGTCACTATTCCACCTGTGCTTCTGAAGATTGATTTTGCAATCATATAATTCTGCTTGATAATAGGGCTATAATGAGCTTGTTCTGAAATGGAAACCCTGCAGTCAGCGGCTGTTAATAGGAGTGCTCAAGGTTATTCTGTGTGTTATCAGGATCGCCAGAGCTCAGTCGTGGCATGATGTATTCTGAATGTTTACTCAGTATTTAGCTGGTCATGGACCTAATGTAACTTCCATTGAATATTAACAGAAAAATACGAGTGGGTGCTCCAAAAAGACAGGAGGATTCCGCTATCCTTCAGGCATGTCTAAGCCACATTCTTAGAAGTGCCGGGGCTTACGGGTTTGATTACAGCTAGTACTGTGGAGAAGACACGGATGTCCAAGATCTGGGGGTTAGTTGCATTAAGCTGTTGCAGGAAAAAAAATGATGAAAGAGATTATGACCACAGCTCACTCTAAACTAAAGAAACATGTGCAGCAAGGAAGAATCTTCTAGCACCTAAAAGATCAACACATTTTGGGCACAATTCCATACAGGTTTACAGAAAAGCCCACAGCTCCTAGCCAGTAAAGCTTTTTTTTCGATTTAAACTTGCCTTTATTTTGGCAAAAGTTTCTGTGAGTCCACACAAACTTCATCTGATGCACTTGGGCTGTGAATTGTATGTAAACCTTTTATTGTTCTTAACTCCTTACTAAAACATTTTTGATTAGATTGTTTTTAATTTAATTTTTAATTTGTTAATGGTTGGTTTTTTAGTTTTATTGCCTTGCTGGTTTAACTGGATTTTTATCTTTTAATTTTTGTTTTCCTGTTGTTATTACTCACTGTTAGCTTCCCAGAGAGCCTTGCTGGCTATGGGTGCAGCATATAAACATAATAAATAAATAAGGCTGGAATTACAATATAAAGGAAGCCCTCGTGTATCTGATCAAAGTTCTACCTGACCCAGCATCTTTTCTTTCACAACATCTATTCTATACCATGGGTGCTGAACCTCTTTAGATCCAAGGGTCAAATTCTGTTGTGAACAAGCTCCTGGGAGCTGGTATGATGAAAGCAAAAGAGGTGAGCCAAAATAACCCAAATACCATTGGGTCTACTATTTCTTAAAGCTCTTGCCTCAAGGAAGACATTTCAATCTTTTGGAATGGGAACAGTGCACAGAAACTGGGAAGCATCCAGCGACTGCTGGCCAGGGGAAAGGGGTTGGGGTAAGAGAAGAGGGCACGGCTCCCTGGAAAACACCAGAGGGCCAGATGTGGATCTCAAGAAGGCCAGTTTTGACCTTAGCCCTCAAGGTTCTACATCTCTAATCTAACCAGATGGCTACAGGATGCCCAAAACCAGGACCTGAGAGAAACAGGGTACCTGCCTGCTGTTTTTCCCCAACAACTGGTATACCACCATCATTTCTAGCTAATGACAGCCTTATCCTCCAGAAATGCATGTATTCTGCTTAAAAACTGGCAGCAAGTTAATGATGCACTTTTCTGATCATTTTAATTGCCGTTGTTTCTGCCCTTTTGCTATTTTTTATTATTATATTTATAGCTTCTTGCTTTATTTTGTTTTGTGAGACACTTAGTATAGAAAGGTGGGTGATAAATGGTTGCAGTATATTTGTTCAAGTACACTTATTTGCATGATTAGAAATACATCTGTATGCAAAAATGAACACTGAGCATTCTGCCTTAATGCAAGTATGTTGACCTCAAAATTCCTTGGCTGTGTGAAGCTGGGCAGAGAAAGGAGAAGGTATATAGCTTTTTTTCCGACATGGTTGCACTCAAATTGTTTGACATGACAGGGTGGCCGTGAAGAGCCCTCACCTTCCTTCTTCATTCCCGCTCGAAAACATTTCTTTAGCCTGCAATATCGACACTGGTTCCTTTTGTCCTTGTCTACAACACACTGTCTGTTAAACCTGCAAAGACAGAGAAGAGTGAGGGATTAGTTTAAAAAGCAAACAATGCTAAGACTTGATGCAATGCAAGGATGAATTGAGTTTTCGGTCCATAATTGGCTAGAAGAGGGATATACAAAATGGAGCCTGCATGCAGACCTCAGTCTTCCCTCTGCTCTCCAGGGGTGCCTTACCCAGCCCCTGCCCCATTTGCACCCCTCCTATTGCATCTTCCTCCCACTTTGGGGTGCAGGGATGTTTTTTTCCTCCTGTCACCTACCAAACTCTATGGCCTCACTCTGAAAAATATCATTATCGAGAAGGAGGGCTGGGGAATCTTTTTCCATTCTAGCCAAGTGTCAGTCATCTTTTATTTCGGTATTTATGGTGGGAAGGTTGAGGGCATTGTCTGTCTGAGTGAATGGATGGATGGATGAAAGAGAGAATATGGCTAGGTTCACATAACAGGACAACTCATAATGTCATGGACGAGCCACAGTGGGTTCTTATGTAATTCTGTAAACTGCCCAGAGAGCTGAATGGCTGTAGGTATATTATAGAAATGTTTTAAATAAATACATAAACAATTCAAACCCAGACTGCTTCCTACAAAGTCACTTGCTTGTGGGCAACAAGCTACCCTCACAACCTGTGGCTTGCTCTTGGGGCTGTTGTGCCCATGGTGAGTTGCCACGTCATCTGAACCCGGGTGACCAACCCCAGTGTGGGTACAGGGAAGCAGCAAGCAAGCTATGAGATGAGACTGGCAAAAGCCCCTTGCCAATCTTGTCGAGCTCATCGGGCCTCTTCAGTGCCAACTACCCTACACATGCCTAAGTAGAATGATGGGACAGACATCACGGACACGATGCTCCCTGTTTCGATCTCAAGCCATTTTTTGCTTTCCCGTACTTCTCCCTGCTTTCAGTTTTCACACAATCTCCAAGAGGAATCCTCTGTGTAGGGTTTTCAGTGGGAAGGCAAGGCTATCTTGGGAGGGAAAGAGATGGGGAAATCCACTGTCACCAAAGCAGTTGATCCAGCATAGATGTGCACCCAGCCCCTTGTTTCAAAAATAATACCTTGCAATCCATTGCACTTCAAAGGCTTAAAGCATGAAAGGTCTACCTAGTACTCTTGCCCTGCTTTACCTGCAGGAGTACATGTGGTTCTTCCTGACGCTTCTCCTGAAAAAACCTTTGCATCCATCACAGCTGGAAGCTCCATAGTGTTTCCCTGTAGCGCGATCTCCACAGATGGCACACAACACACTGGCCCCGATGCTGTTGGAGGCATGGAGGTTGGCAGCTTCCGACGGGGTTGTGTCTGCTTAGGAAGGGGGACAAGGAAGGCAAGAGTAGAATAACCGGAGATTAAAATGGAGGCAGGACATCACTATGGACATGCCAAATTCACACAAGCAACAATGAAAACAATATTCCTATTTTTGCAAGAACTTTGCAAGGGTCGGTCAGAACTATTGAATAACTTGGGACCAGGATACTTGAGAGAGCTCCTGCTAGCTTAGCAGCCTGATGGGATGTGGAGATGCCATGTGGTTCTACACAGATCAATGGAGTGATTGGATTCCATCCAGGCAAGAGCCTTCAATGTGGTGGCTCCATTTCTCTGGAACTCTGTGCCTCCGGAGGTCAGGCAGGCACCAAAACAGTGTTGGTTTTGGCACCTCCTGAAAACATCTCTATTTCTTGCTCTAAGCAGCCACCGTTTTATCCTGGAATCTATTTAGATATAGAGTGGTAAATAAATATTCCTCATATTGCAGATTGGGGTACTGAGCTGAAATAATTAGCTTGCCTAAAGTCTAAAGTCACTCTGTCACTCTTGACAGAGACAAGATTCAAACTCAGGACTTTCAGATCCTTAGATCAGTCTCTATGTATGTCTACACACATGTTTTAAAAACATTTTAGATAATTGTCCTTATCTCTGTGCTGACCAGTTTTGCAGGCAGGGGGGAAAGATTGTAGCCATTGTTCAGAGTTCAAATTGTTTTATAAGAAAGAATGGCTTTATATTTAAATCACCTTAAGCATCTTGTTTTAGAATGAAAGGCACAGTGAAAAATAAGTTGACAATACATTGATTGAGTCTGTCTGGAGCACTGAAAACACAATCACATACAGTTTTACAAGAACCACACAAGGCAGGTCATCTTTATTATCTTGATAATGCACTGTGTACAGTATATTTATTTATATGCACACTGAAAGAATGGCTTTCTACATGAGACTTTTATTGTGTGCTCATAATTAGTCACTCACAGTTTGAAGGTGCTTTATACAACACTGTTGCCCTCCAGGGCATCTCCTCTGCTCTTCAACCATTATAGCTTTTCTCTTTGCCTAACAAGGGAAGTCTGGTATTTCTGTGAATGGCAGCACGATAGCCTGATGCATTGCACAATTTCACTGTACCACAGTACTACCTCTTGGTTCCATAATGGAACCAATGTGAAAAGGTATCCATCTTAATACCTCGAAGAATCTGGAAACAGAAACCTCAGCAAAGTTGCATGTTAAACACCTCATGCAGAAAAGCCCAGAGAGACTTGCCTTGGACTGCTTGGCAGTGGTGAGAGCTAAACCAGGGACCTCTGGTCTGTAGCTTAGGGAACAATCCTAGGACCTCTGGATGCACATAAGCCTCCGCACTCAGAGGCTGCGATGCATCAAGCAACCAGAGAGAGATGCAATGACACCCATCTCTCCCATGACCATGCATTGCCCTCTGCCTTTTATCCAGATGCCCTTTTTTGGCCAGATAGATGAAGCATCAGAGAAAGGGAGAAAGGAGGCTGGAGCACCAGTAGGCACTGGCATAAGTCCTCTCTCCACAACCCCTCTTTGCCCTCTCAAAGCCACATTTCTGCTCTTGGGAAGGCGGCTGGTGTGTCTCTTTCCATGCTAGCTGCAAGGGCCACGGTGAGGCTCAGCTATCAGAGGACCTTGAGGAATCCTGCTCTCCCTCCACCACCCACGATGTCTGGAAGCCACAGCAGGATGCCTTTAGTTTCTTACAGCATCCTCCTCTGGGTATTTACCCACTGTGTAGGATTACTCTCTTGGCTATAGTAGCTCTAAAGCAAAAGTAGTGAAGTGCAAAACTATGGTCTTGCTCGAGCTCCCCTTATTTATTTCATTTGTACCCCACTTTTCTTCCATAAAATGGCACTTAAAGCAGCTTAAAGAAACAGCCCAAAATAGTATATTGTGTGCTTGGGTAAGGTGGGGTTGAGTGAGGGCCCCTTTAGTTGACAAAACTCCTGCAAAATAACTTCTGAGCTATTAACAGTCTGAGCTGGCGTGAAAAGGAGGGCTCCAGCTTTTTATGCCTCAGCTTCCCTTCCGTAAAGTGGAAACACCACAGAAGTGAATCAAAGCCTTTTAAAGCCTGGGGGGAAATCCCTACCATTCACCTCTTTTTGCAAAGTACAGATGCAATAAAGGGTAGATTTTGCATTCAGCAGAGTAATATGCATTTCAGGGCAAAGAGAAGAGCAGGGAAAAGAGGAAGAAGAAGGAGGAAGAAAAAAGAAGAAGCATTAGTTATTGTTGTGGTCATCTTCTCCCAGGCATGGGAAAAAGTGAGGGAAAGAGAGAGATGGTTTCCGTGTACCAGGTAATATGCAACCAGGGGTTCCCTTCAGAATATGTAGTTGCCTGGGAGCTGTGACGTGCATTGTGCTGCAGCCCAGAGTGGGCTAGAAGGGCTGTGAATTCGAATCTCATCTTTGCAGGGAAGAACAACACTTTATGGTTGGAGAACATGATTTCTGTGCAAAGAGCTCCCCAGGCATCCACAGCTTTGTTAAGATTGTTCTCAGGCAGCAGGGCTGGGGAAGCCTTGAAGAACCACTTCCGGTTGTGCAAACAGTATTGACTAAGGTGGGCCGCAGCCAGATGCACTATGGGCTTGGGGTTTTGACCAAGTGACATCTCAGGACACCCCCCAGCCAATGGCACCGGTAGGGTGGAAATGTGGGATTCAGCTCTGGTGCCTCGCAGCCAAGGCTGGGATGGTGCCCCATCACCACGACCTCTTTCCCTTGGTTCCTTATGCTTTCCGCAGAGCAGGGCAGGGCAGGCGGGGGAAGCTTCCGTCATTTGCACCAGGCACCATCATTTCCCAGAATGTTGTGTGCCTGGGCTCTGCATGGGACTAAGTGGTACTCTGGATCCCTACTCTGCATGCTCACTCTGCAAAAAGGAAAGGAAAAAAGGAAAGGCCACGCAGTCGGCCACTGGGGCAGCAGGGGTGGGCGTGGAGCAGCAGCCCCTTGTTCTGTCTGCGAAGCTTTCTGCAGAAGTGGCCCAGCCTGCTGGATTCAACGCATCTGATGACCTCTTGGTAAGGTTTTCGAGAAAGGGACCTTTCTGCCACACACCCACCCCCTTCCTCCATGTCCCATGTGGCAGGAAGAAAGAGGAATGGGCCTCTTTTGCCCAGTCTCCTTTTGACCCTACCATTAGCAGAGTGAGGCCAGTGCCTCGGGCCACAGAAGCTGAGGGGCAGCAGCCCCCTCCCTCCTGAGCCTCCCAGGGCAGCCCCTTCTCTTGGAAGACAGAGCCTGTATGGACCCCCCACACACACGCCCCACACAACTCGTCTGATGTTCTGGGTTGTGGTGCCAGCGCAGTCAGTTTCTGTGTGTGGAATGGGATGAGCGGGGAGAGCACAGGACAAGAGAAAAGGACTATTTCATCATTTCTTGCTGCTTTGCAAACGGAGGAAGGGTTGAGAGCTGGCAGGGGAAGGAAGAAGCTGTTGCAGCAGGGGGTGTGGGCAGGGGGCATCTTTGCTCAGAGCTCCCCCATTCCTGCTCCCAACCATGATAACCAGGTGAACTGCTGGAAGGGGCAAGGAGGTCAGACCAATTCAACTTGGTGTGTCCCCTGTTAGTAGGGAGATCAGGCGGAAGGTGACTGAATGGCTCCTTGGCATGAGCGAGGAAAGGGTGCATGATGTTCCTGGAAGAGGCCATTTGCCTGTACCTCTCCGCTCCCACTCCTCTAAGGAATGTGCTAGGCAAAGGTGTCTATAGCAGCAAGCAGCCTGTACTTTTCAAGCAATGAGGCAGTGTCAGTCCGAGGAGAGCCAGCTAGAGGCCTTTGGGAAGTCTGATGGTGCTGGCTGCATCACCTCCACCACCCTGAAGTCTGATGGGGGAGCAGGGAACGTTGGGGCATCCATGCTAAACCTATGCTCAGCCTCCATCTAGGTTCATAAACAGAGGCATTGCCAAATGCTGGGAAGCTTCCAGTGGCCGCATTCCCAAGCAGACCGAACCCGAGGCAGGCACTGTACCCCAGAAAGCCCACTGCTCAGGAAACTGGGCTGATATCACAGAAAGGAAGTGGGTGGGGAATAGGAAGGATTCGGGAAAGTACAAACCACAACTAGATGTCCCAAGCCATCACCTCATCAGCAGGATGTCACTTACTCCACTGACTGATGGACTAAGTGTTTCCACTACTGGAAGGTAATTAAGCGTGCAGTGACCAGACACATTTTATCAAGGTACAACGTCAGATGCAGAAACCCGACATGATATCAAGCCCTTAAAGTCCAGCTGAAAGCAGTGGAATGCAAGCCAGTCCTAACTAATTGCAGCCAAAGGATTTATATCACAACTGATTTGATAGAGACATTTGAAGGTACATCCATATAATGTCTACAATGCTAGTGTGTCACACGTTGTGGAGAAGGATTCTGGGACAGGGACTACATGTGGAACCCTGATTGCTGGATGCAGTCAAGGAGCCTGGGGCCTCTGTGTACAACCCACTGCCTTATATAACGAGCTCCTACCCAGGGAGGCCTGCACATGAATTTTCCTCATTGGCTGCAGGGGAGCTCCCATCACACCACAGCCAAGGCTACCCAGCCCTCACTTTCTACTTTGCGGGTGTCAATGCATACATGATACAAAATGTTCCTCTTCTTGCTAACACCATCATCTTTCACTCTGGAGTCCTCTGTTTTTTCTCGGAGCCATACAAGTTACCATTCCACATATGAAATTGGTTAACATTGGACTCCTGTGTGTGTCTACCCAGACGCTAAGTCCCACTGAACTGAAGGAGGCTTACTCCAGGTAGTGTGAGCAGGATTACAGCCTTAAGCAGTCATCAAAACAGTTAACAGGCAGCGGATGCAGCGGGGGCCGGGGGGGGGGCGGTCTCTATATGAGGCCTTCTACCAAGGCTTCTGCTTCCAGAATTTTGCAGCATTTAGATTAACTGTTTTCTGTATGTCCCCACAGCCTTGCTTTTCTTCCTTGGACTTTCTATAAACCACTAGGT